TCCAACCATCCATCCATTCATCCATCTCCATCAATCCATCCATCCATCATCATACATTCATCTGTCCATCCATCCATCCATCATCCATCTATCCATGCAACCATCATCTGTCTGTCCATCCATCTGTCCATTCATCATCCATCCATCATCCATCCATTTATCCATCATCATACGTCCATCTATCCATCCATTCATTTGTCCATCCATCCATCCAACTATCATCTGTCCATCCATTTATTTATCCATTATTCATCCATTTATCCATCATCCATCCATCAATCCATCATCATACATTCATCTGTCCAGCCATCCATCCATCCCTCCATCTATCCATGCAACCATCATCCATTTGTCCATCCATCTGTCCATCCATCCATCCATCCATCCATCATCCATCTGTCCATCCATTTATTCATCCATCATTCATCCATCCATCCATCCGTCTATTCATCCATCCATCATCCATATATCCATGCAACCATCATCCATTTACTTATCCATCATCCATCCATCAATATATCATCATACATCTGTCTTTTCATCCATCCATCCATCCATCCATCCATCCATCCATCCATCCATCTATCTGTGCTTCCATTTGGTCATCCATCTATCCAACCATCCATCCATTCATCCATCTCCATCAATCCATCCATCCATTCATTGAGGTTAGCAGCTTGAACAGGGAGGCCCAAACATCTCTTGAAGCATGTCCTGGGTCTTCCCCAACGTCTCCTTCCATTGGACGTATCCAGAACATTTCCCTATGGAGGCATCCAGGTCCATCCTGACCAGATGGCTGAACCACCTCAGCTGTCTCCTCTGGATGAAGAGGAGAAGTGGTTCTACTCCGAGTCTCTACCAGAGAACTGAACTTCTCACCCTATCTATAATAAGTGCTATGTGTTGTCATCATTGTATGTTTCCATACAATGAGAAATTAGTTCTCTGCATTTAACCTATCACATCTGAGATACACCTAGGACGCGCCCAGGGAGCAATTAGGTCTCTTTCTCAAGGACACCATGACATTTGGGCATGGCGAGGAGTCGAACCGCGACTTTCTGGTCCCGAGTCTGCTGCCCTGTGCTGGCAGACATCTTTAACACCTCACTTACCCTGGAGAGAGTACCCACCTGCCTGAAGACTGCCACCATCATCCCAGTCCCAAAAAGCTCTACAGTGACTGGTCTGAATGACTATCGGCCAGT